ATGTGCAGGGGATGGAAGTGGGTCTATTTCTGGGGGTGATGTAAAGCATGGCAAGGTAACAAAGAGCTATTGAATCTGCACTCAACAGTTGACCATATGGTTGGAGAAACAACTTAATATGTAGCTCTTCCATTGAATCAGGTGTTTGGAGATCTTTGATATTTATTTGTTTGTTATTTTGGCCAGTGAGACCATCAAAGCCCAAGTGTGAATTGGAAGGAGACCTGACAGAAGGAAGTGACTTGACTCTGCAGTGTGAGTCATCCTCTGGCACAAAGCCCATTGTGTATTACTGGCAGCGAGTCCGGGAGAAGGAGGGAGAGGATGAACATCTTCCTCCCAAGTCTAGGATTGGTAAGTCATCTTCCTACCAGTCTACTGAGAAAACAGGACAGTCCTCTATGAATTCTAAATCTGATTTTTGTCAGCAACTCACACTATGACCTTGAATACACTGGTGGACCTCTTTGAACTTCCATTTTTCATCTCTTTTCTTTTCTCAAATGGCTAAAATAAAAGTGGTAAAGAGATTAGATAGAAAGATTAGATAGAAATATATTATATGAATCCATTATATCTAATTACTGTTAGTATCCATTAAATATTCAGAATCTATAGTGACTTTTGAGGATGCACTACAATTTAAAAGCATGTTCACCTTTCTTCCCACATTCCCAAAAAGGATCGACTCTCTTGTCTCATCCTTACCAAATGTATTACAGAATCTTAGGTCAATGTTGCAATAAATTAAATGATAAATCTCAACCCTGCCATGGGGATTAGTCATTCTTTCTCCTTGTGTAGACTACAACCACCCGGGACGCGTCCTGCTGCAGAACCTCACCATGTCCTCCTCCGGGCTGTACCAGTGCACAGCAGGCAACGAGGCTGGGAAGGAGAGCTGCGTGGTGCGGGTGACAGTTCAGTGTAAGTACCCGAAGGGCTTGTTTGTTTTTGGTTTTGCAGGTGGTTCAGTGTAAAACATTTTTAATCACAAGTAAGGTGAAAAGCTTTATTTCC